TCTCTCTCTCTCCCACCCACTCTGTTTTCCCAAAGCTCAGTAGTAGACTCTCAGTAGCAACAAGAACGAAACGGGAGAAGCAAGCATTGCCCTTTCACTGCTCGGGTCTCTTGTGCTTTCCACTTGGCTGCCACCCTGCTTCCCCTGGCAGGGAGGGAAAGCCCAGGAAGCCCTTCATGTGGCTGCATCCCCTCTGCACCTTTGGGATTGGAGCTGGGGGTGGGGTGGGGGACTCCTGTCCCGAACAGGGCTGCGGTTGGCATCCATGCACTGCCAGGGGTAGCCAGCAACAACCCTATTTAGCACAATGGGGTATTCAGAGAGTTCTCTGTGTGCTCCCTTGTAAGGGAGAAGGGCCTCATACTCATTTTGAAGATGGGGTGGTGGTGAATGCAGATGGAGGCCACCAGAGGGACAGCTTTCTCTTGTTTTCTGAGATTTGCTTTTGAAGTGACTTACAGTCAAATCTATGCAGGAGAAGTTATTTAAAGAGGGAAATATGGGGTTTACATAGCAGCGTCTTCTAGTTTCCAGATAATGGCGACAAAGACTACTGGGTGGACTTAGGGGCTGGTCTCAGACCCAAGATGGGACTTTGACAGAAATGTGTCTCTGTGTGTTGATACAATGCATCCCCAGAGTCTTCTCTAGTTTGACCCTAGTGGTGCAACACAATAAAATATTGCAATATCTTTTCACAAGAGGCTTGTTCAGAACTCTACTGATTTATTTATTTTTTTATCATTATTTTTCAAAACAAATACATCAATACAAAACAATACAAAATACTGACTAACAATCTAAAACCCAGTGCCCCCCCATACCCATGGGACCCTCTGGAGTAATTCTTTTCTTACGAACTTCTTTTCCAAAATTGTATTGATTGTTGCTTAGGGGCTTTCCCCTTTCCTTTCACTAATACAAATTCAATAAATCTACCCCAAATAGCATAAAAATATTCAAACTTATTTCCCCTCTTTTCATCTTTAGATCAGTAATCAATTTGTCATTTAAATGTCCCATACTTCATTATACCAATCTTCTGATATCATGTTTGTCTTTCCAGTATCTAGCTATTAATAATCCAGCACTTGTCACAAAATTAGAAATCAATTCCTTTGAGTAATAATCATGTTTTATATAATCAAAAATTGGCAGCAAAGAAATTTTGAGTTAAATTCAATATCTTTTCCAAATATATCACATATTTCCTTAAAAATCAATTTCCAAAATTTCTGAATCAATTTACTCTCCCACCACATATGATTTTGTTGTTTATTGTTTAGTCATTAAGTCGTGTCTGACTCCATTACCCCATAGACCAGAGCACACCTGCCTTCCACTGCTTCCCGGAGTTGGGTCAAATTTATGTTGGTAGCTTCGATGACACTGTCCAACCATCTCGTCCTCTGTCATCCCCTTCTCCTCTTGCCTTCAGACTTTCCCAACATCAGGGTCTTTTCCAGGGAATCTTCTCATGAGATGGCCAAAGTATTGAAGCCTCAGGTTCAGGATCTGTCCTTCCAGTGAGCACTCAGGGTTGATTTCCTTCAGAACCACGTGCCAATTTCTTCATCACATTTCCAACAGGCCTTAAAATAGTCTGAGTTTATGTTCATTTTCACTGGAGTCATGTACTACCTTACCGACATTAATCTTAGAACTCTCATCTTCCAAATTTTTATCCAATCCTCTGTTCTAATTTCTGTCTTTAAATCATATTCCCAAATTGATTTCAATCCTTCTGTTTCAATCTCATTTTCCTCCCGATCTAAAATTAGGTAATAAATTTTACTTACTACTCCCTTCTTCAAAGCTTCCTTCTGCTTGTCTTCATGTGATTATTGAAATTGTTCATAATTAGTACATGCTTTACATTTGCCATTAATTCTCAACCATTCATTAGTCCATCTAATTGGATTTAATTGTTCCATAATAATTTATTAGTTTGACGTTTTGCTATAATCTTCTCCTTCGAACTCATTTTAACCATCAATCTGGCAACTTTTTTATCCTTAAACAAATCAACAAAACCCTTCAAGAACTCTGCTGATTTAACCAAAAGATAACGAAGGAAAAGACAGGCCTGGGTGGTTGGTTGGTTTGTCTGTCAAAGTTTGATCAGCAGTTTTAATTCTCCTGGTGAGGCAAGGCCAGTTTTCCCTCTCTCAATGTTGAGAAGGGATGGTGTGACCAGAATCCGGGGGGGGGGTTCTCCTCCTCCTCTTCCTCCTCAGGACCTTAATGCAAGCAACGGCCCTAGGTTGCCCCGGTGACAAAGCCTTCTGAGCTGCTGGGTTGCCAAGACTTCTTGGTTGCCCCAGGTTACCGAGATGTCCAGGTTGCCTGGGTTACCCTGCCAGGTTACCAAGAGGCTTGGGAGGTGCCGCCCTCCTGCCCTCTTGACACCCTCCCCGGAGGCCCCGATCCCCTATGGCTCCCTGAAGGTCCACCCCGACTTGCCAGCCGGAGGGTCGCCCGGGAGCCCGCGGCGGGTGCCCTTCGCCATCCCTCCGGGCTCTTGTCCTCTGGTTGCCCCGGCAACCGCATCCCCTGGAGGGAGGGGAGGAGGCCGCCAGAGCGGGTACCACAAGCCCCAAGCAGCGCCTGCCCCGCCCGGACCCTTTCTTCAGCCCGGCGCCAATGAGAGGCTTTCCCCCGCCGCCTTTCGGGCTTCCCGCCCAATGAAGGGGCTTCGGAGGCGGGGCCAGAGCGAGCAGCCACGCCTTTCTTGGATGAGGGGCGTGGCTGGCTCTCCATCCCGAGCGCCGGCTGCTGCCTGGATCGCTCGCTCGCTCGCTTACTTACTTGGGGTCCGGGAGGAAGCAAAGCCCGGAGTCCGGACCCCGGAGGGGTGAGAGGAAGAGGAGAGGTAACAACAGGTAAAAGTTGGACCGCGGACCGGGGCAAGGAAACCTGGGGATAGCGGGCAGGGCTCCCGGAGCTTTCTTGGAGGAAGTGAGGAGCCCTGGAAACATTTGCGCCCGATCCTGCGCCGGGACGCTGAGCCTAACCGGCAGGGAGAAGGCGCCCGGCGCTCCCGCTCAGCTCTCCGCCACCTGCGAGCGTTTGTGCGCTCCTTGGGGGCGGATTTGCCCGGCTCTCTTCCCCCTCGCTGCGCGGCAACCTGTTGCTGGTGGTTTGGCAACTGCGCAAGTTTTTCTCCGGCTGCGTCTCTCCCTAAGGGCAGAAGGGTGTGGGTGGGAAGGGGACGTCCATGGGATTCCCATCCAAGAAGGCGAGGGGAAGGGAAGGAGAAGCCCGGGGGGCTCCCGCGAGGGTCCCGCGTCGTCGGTCTGGAGAGGGTCTCGGTCTGCGGAGAAGCAGGGAGCCGCAGGG